CATTCTAATAAATCGTGTGTGTGTGTGTGTGTGTGTGTGTGTGTGTTCGTGCACACAGAGTGGTTCTTCTAGAGAACCCTAAATAATACAGACTAGTGAGTCCAAACATCTGCACATCAGAAATGAAATATTTGTTACATAAGTGACGGTCACTTTCCCATTATTTCATTGCCTACATTTTATAAAACTAAAGTTTAAGGATTTGTATCAACAATTATGTTCATCTTTGCTTAAGGATGGAACAGCATAAAATAAAATAAAAGAGAAAAAGTACAATGCAATTTTCATAGATAAGAAATAATTATAAGAACTTTCAGTAGAGATTTTCAGGTGACTTTAAAAATTTCACTGTATTGTCTTTGAATCACTGAGGTTTAGGTGATTTTTTATTTCTTCTATTTCTTGCTAATGTTGAAAATAGACTTTTTTCATTTAATATATTCTGATTATGGTTTTAAAATAAGAAAAGTTTTTATTTTAGAGCAAGACTGCACTCCTGTAGTGGGTATATATCACTGAAACATAATGCTTATATGTACGTTTGTATGTTATATAACATATATAACACATATATAATGTAACATGTATATTAAAAACTGAAAACATCCTTGAAAATACTGAAGCTATATTACAAAATTGTTTTCCTTGGGTTATTAAAACATGTAAGGATAACATAACATGGAGGGAAGTTGGAAAATGAACTGTATTTGGGAGGGATTGGAAGAGGAGTGGGAATTGAAGATGATCAAATTGTATGTATAAATGAATCGTCAAGAATTAGTAAAAATATTGTTAGAAAGTATTATAGTTTTATGATAGGATCATAAAAACTTAAATAGATATTTTCCAGGAGTTATAACTAAAAACTCAATCCAGGTTTATTTAATCATTACTAGCTTTTAGTTTATGTCTATTGGTTTATTAGGGTGAATAAAAATGGTTTAATTATTAAAATAAGGCTGAGTCATATTCAGTAAATATAAAAATAAACATACAGTTGTTTCCTTTTACATGAAAAGATACATCCTTTGAAGACATGTAAACACGAGAGGAAACAATAGCATTTTAGCCAGACACTTTGAAAGTGATCATAGCTCAGACCACAGCTAGTACATTTTCACTTAATAAAAATAATGTGTTTGAAATTGGCTGTTCATGTTTATCATCAAATTGAGGATATCACTTTCAGGGGCAATCTTTTCAAAGTTATAATTAAATGAATGTCAGTCACAATGAGTTGTGAATAATTTGTTTACTTATGTACCCATTATGCCTTTGAAAAATAGTCATATAGTAGAGAGAAAGCTCACAGAGGATTGTGAGAATGGACTGTGTCCTAACTGAAATATCATTGGTATACTCTACAGAATATTTTGCAATATTGCATGGAAAAATATATTTTAAGATAGGGTTGTTTCAGAGCCAATTATTGGGAAGAGCTCCCGGTCGAAGGAGGGAGGAAGAATTGTAGAAGCCAGATAATACTGGGCTATTAACATATGTTGAGAAATATTATTTTAAGGTGTGTTACTTTGGTTTGTGCTGAGTAACATCTGTTTAATGATATAAAGATATGTTCTTTTATTTATGCTGCATTTGTTTAACTCTACAAAGTAGTGATTCTTCATCTGTCTAAAATACATGATGGTCTAATAAAGAGCTGAAAGGCCAAAAGCACGGCAGGAGAGGCGGGGCTGTCAGGCAGAGAGTATAAATAGAAGGGGAAATGAGAAGGAGCAGCAAGAGAACAAGGAGAGTTGGACTCTAAAGGGCAGGCACCAAACCAGCAGCCAGCCACAGACTAAGAGTAAAGGTAAGATATACAGAAAAAAGAAAAGGTGAAAGCCCAGAGACAAACGGTAGTAGCGATAATTTAAGAAAAACTGGCAAGAAACAAGTCAAGCTAAGGCCAAACATTCCTAAGAATAAGCTTCCATGAGTGATTTTATGGGACTTGGGTGGCAGGCCCTGAAAAATTCGTAAGATTAAAATATACACAGCAAACATATTCACAAACTTTTTAAGTTTATTACAGAAGAAGAAACTCTTTTAAATGCCTATATTTGACTATTCAACTCTTATTTCATGTTGTAAGAAGTGAGTAGATATATAACTTGCTATTATACAAAAGAGAAATATTTTATACTTGTTTCTGCCTGTCAAACACTATGGAATAAATAGACTGAGGCTACTGACGTGGACAACCACACTCAATACTTTTTACATGGGCTGTGGAAGTAAATCAAACTTAGGTTTTTATGCTTGCAACTCAAGTATTTTTAGTCCAACACCCATTCTTCATGTTCTCATCCATGGCAAGAAACTGGATTTTTTTCCCATACGTGAAGGTTGAAAATTCTGCTACCAAGAACCCTTAAAGTGCAATATGTAACATTGGAATGCAGTGAAAATATGGTCAATTACATGCAACAACAATTCATGGACTACTATATCTCTACTAGCATATTATGTTTTATACCATAAGTATAAAACAGACAATCAAAAACTGTTACTTCATAGAATCTTTTTAAATATTTTTAAGGATGAGTACCTCTTCATGTTGTAGGAAAACATATTAATGTGGTTCCTAAAACACAAATATGGATTTTCAGTTTCATCAAAGCCTTGATTGCACTGGTCTAAGTGGCTGTGATTACTTAGTGTTATATTTTCCAAGTCCCAAGCAGAGTCTTACACAGTATTGTTAATAATATTTTCCTATTCAAAGAATTAGTTCTTGAATTTAATCTTGATAAAGAGCCAGGAAGCTAAAGTCTATTTCCAGAGTGTCCTGAATTCATACTCATGTGGCTCCAAATAAATATATTAAATATTCCTCAGCTGTGAACAAAAAATACTGAATTAACTTCAAGGTTGAAAATATAGAATCTAAATTATTACAATATCTCCTAGTGATATTGCTAGAAAATTCAATGTCATGTTAATTTCCATAACTAAAATGATACAGTCTCAGGCCAACCAATAAAATTAAATGTTCAATCAGGTCATAGGTGTCACACTTTCTAAAGACCATTAGTAATCAAAATTCATTTGTCATAAGCTTTGCAACAAAATTATTGACATGAGACAATATACTTTTCACTTTGTTATTAAATTAGGAATTTAATACAGGTTATAATGATTTATGTAAGCATGGAAATATTTTCATTAAATAATCCAAATGCTACTGGCAAAGCTGAGCTGGTATATCTGTAAAAAATGAAATTTAAAAAAATGGCCTGCCTTCCTAAAAGATCATTTCAATTATTCAATGTGTATTTTCTGTTGAGGAAACTAGGGATACTTTCAGGAAAGAGACATAATGATACATAGATAATAAGTCAGAATGCTTAAAATGGTGTTAGAAATATCATGATAGAAATTAGATTAATTTCTTTGTCTATTGTATGAATTTGTATGAAAAATTACATTTTTACATTTTCTGTTTTGACTCTAACTTAAGCTTCTAAGAAAGGTTTTCTTCAATAATAATAGTGCTTATCAAATCAAAAAAACAAGAGATTTTTTTCCACAGCTACTATGGAAAAAATTTCTGTGTGGCAGGTTTGAAACAGCTTGGAGCATAGCTGTTAGAGTAAATAACAGATGTTTCTGTTTATTTGATGTTACTTTATCGATGAAAATATCAAAATAATAGATACTTCATGTTCAGCATGTACATATGAGAGTCTCAGTCAAAGGACGAAAGTGAGATAACATGGAGAAAAGATGAATTTTTAGCTAGAAAAACATTAAGAAATCCGTGAATTTGGTATATACAGAAACTCCTAAGAAGTAATGGTATGAGAGTAATTACTTGATTCACAGACATATGCCAAACTGAAACAATTTATTACCATTTTAGATTATCTGATTAAGTTTTCACTAATGTGGTCGACATCAGTGCATTTTAGACTTCTTTCCTCTTTCGTACCAATTCCTTTGCTTCTTGAGATAGGAAATTTTTAAGGAAAAGTCTGTAATGCTTCTGAAACATGATGGTGGCCATGAACAATTTATACTTTTATTTTTAATTGAACATATAAAACAAACCTAGTGAATGTCCATAATTATTTTCTAAAGAGTTATACACTGTTAAAAATGTCATCAAGAGGATACAGGAAAAATGTCAACACATTCTTACAAATGAGAAAAGAACTAAACTGACTTCCTTTCAAATTATGATTATAATATACTGTTGAATACAACATGGTCAGGTGAAAGGACAGGAAGTGCAATGTAGACTAAGTAGTTACTAGTTTTCCTATTATCACATTAGTAAGAAAAAGTGCTTTCACTAATTTTATTATATATATATATACACATAAAATGTTGTATGAATTCATTTAAATTACTCCAATACATATAATGCTACCAAAATATTTTTAGAGATGTTAAATACTAATTCCAGTAATGCCATTACCACTTCCTCTGTTTTTTTATTCTACATCATTTTTCTGTTTCTTGTGTATGCTTAAATTATCATATGAGTAATTCTGAAAATTAGCAATAATAGAAACTCATGAAGTACAGTATACAATAATACTTAAACTCTGTATAACCTCAATTCTTTGTCGTGAAAGCTCATCAAAATGCTGTATGTTTGTCCTGATACCTTTTTGTTAGAGATTTCATTACACGAACTCAGAAGCCTATGCATAAAAACATGCTTGAAAAGTAAAGGCTAAATGATTGCCACAGTTTTTTAAGACTTTATTTATACAGAGAAGATTGAATCTAAACTATCATTATTTTTTTTTTAGGAATTCATTGTATACCAAAAAACCCACGAAAGTCACTTTAAACGTAATATTAATAACCTAGAACCTTGTAATTTATGAAATACATTTTAGGTGATAGTAATTGACTTTATTTTCTTCTGTACAATCATTTTTAAACTTACTTTACAGTAGGTTTAATAAGTAAGTCATTTATTTAGTTTGTATAAGTTAGTAAATTGTATACTTCCGTGTTTTTCCTTCTAGAAAGAGCAGTATTACCTTATCACCTTCAGAAAATGTGACTCCATCCACTGCTCTTTTCCAGGTGATTTCTGGAATAGGCTCGCCTTCTGCCTCACAGATGAGTGTGACATGACCATTCTCAGATGTTGTCTCATTCTGAAGTTGTAATATATGCGGCTGTACTGTAAAAATTGTACATGTTATTCAGTTGCTATTAGCCTAGAAAGGTTACTATTCACAATGAAAATTCCATACTAGATCACTACATATTTGAATGGTATTATATGACTAATTCCATAGCAGTTACAACTTACTTTCTAAAATACCATAAATAAATAAAAAATAAATAAATAAATAAGAATGGGAAAAGTTATAGATAATAATGTTTATCTATTTTTATTATAATTAATATGTATCTTATAAATCAGTATAAAACATAATTCCTTTCAAAGTTTTGCCAATTTGGTGTAACATTCTTTTATTCATTCCCTAAAGCCACAAAATTGAAATCTCCTACTAAAGACACATATCTGTAAGCATCCAAACACAAATGAACACATTTATAGCATCTCTTTAGTCATTTCTTGCATTTTAACTTTTAATGAGCTCAGCAAGTAGACAAATGTTTACAGCTTATTTGATACCTAAGGTGTAGAGTTAGAAATAATCATGAAATTTTTCATGACAAAAAGAGATGTTGAAACATTGTTCTGTACGCAATTACAAGTGACTAACTGGGAATGTAATTAACTTTAACATAGCTTTATATCAGTGTTTCTCAGCCTGTGAGTCATAAGTCCTTTGCAGGGTTGTGGGGGATGAACAACCCTTTCACTGGGGTTGCATATCAGATATTCTGCATATTAGATATTTGCATTATAATTCATGACAGCAGAAAAATTACAATTATGAAATAAAAACAAAAATAATTTTATGGGATGTCACTACAACATGAGTAAAATGGTCACAGAATGAGAAAAGGTACTGTAAACATTAAACTATTTCTTCACAACTATAATCCTATATAACACAACATTAAGTATATTGGGATGACATTTTCTTTATAATAAAATATACCTACCTTGACAATGTACATAATAGCACCATGTTTTAAAATGTAGAATTTGTGTTACCTGTCTGCCCTGGCTAATTTCTCTGGTGGTTTTGTTTTGTTATTGTTGCAGCTGTTTTGCATTGATTTTATCAACTTGACACAAACTAGTGTCATCTGAGAAGACAGAACCTTAGTTGCTTCCACAAGACTGACCTGTAGACAAGTCTGAGGAGCATTTTCTTGATTGATGGTGACTGTGGGAGGCACCATCTCACTGTGGTTGGGGTCACCCAAGGCATGTTGTCCTGGCTTTTACATGAAAGAAAGCTAAGCAAACCAGTTAACTGCTTCTACTTCCCCAGTGATGGAGGAAGGTCATTGGTTAAATAATAAAGAAACTGATTGGCCCTGATGGGTTAAAACATAGGTGGGTGGAGTAAACAGAACAGAATGCTGGGAGGAAGAGGAAGTGAGCTCATACGCCTTAGCTTTGCTCTCTGGGGCAGACACGCTGAAGATCCGACCCAGGATGGGCGTAGAGTAGAATCTTCCAGGTAAGCGCACCTTGGGGTGCTACACACATTATTAGAAATGGGCTAGTCCAGGTGCAAGAGTTAGCTGAGAAGAGCCAAGCAGTGTTTAAAAGAATACAGTTTGTGTGTAGTTATTTTGGAGCATAAGCTAGCCAGGCGGCTGGGAGCTGGGGCGGCAGGAATACAGTCCACAGCTCCTACAACACCCCAGTCCCATGCTTTCTGCTTTAGTTAGCACGTTTTGTTTTCTGCTTTGAGCTCATGACCTCTGTAATAGAGTGTGACCTTTGATTTGTAAGAGGAAATAATCCATTCTCTCCCCAAGTTACTTTTGGTTATTGTGTTTCCTCATAGCAAAAGAAAGCCTAAATAAAACACAGCCTTTCTTTCTCGCTCTCTCACTCTCTCCTTCCTTCCTTTCTCTCTCTTTTTTCTTTCTTAATTTGCAAAATAAAATAGATAAGATTCTAAAATCCAGGTGTATGGTGTCAGTACACATAACTTTAAGAATAAAACACTATCAGTATAATTAACTAGAAAATAAAATTAAGTTTTTCTTAATATCAAAAATAAGATCCCTAATATCAGGAATGTCTTGGACAAAGTTTAACATATTTTACATTTATTCCTTTTAACTTTTTTAGATATATTTTATCTTTCAAAATAAATACAGATTTTATGAGTGGTCTTCACAAGGTGATCACAAGAATGATGTGATGTTTTATGCATCCTTTCATGTTTCAGCAATCCTAATGCATCTCTCTGCTCTCATATGCTAACAACCTAATAAAAGAAGAAATGATGATGAGGTATTTCCCTAGCATTTGTTTTCTTTTGTCTTAAATATATTATCTTTATTTTTTTTTTGAATTTCACATCATGCACCCAGTTTTGCTCATTTCTCAGTTCTTCCATATTTGCCATTCAGCATTGCGGAGCCCCCCATGAAAATAAAATTTTGGAGAAATTAAAACCAAACCAAGCCAAAAGAAAAATGAAAATGTGTTGGAGAAACAGGAAATGTAGTGGGAGCTGCGGGCCTCTTCCCACAGCCTGGTTCCCGGCCACCTGGCTAGCTTATGCCCCAAAATAACAACACACAAATTGTATTCATTTAAACACTGCCTGGCCCATTAGCTCTAACTTCATACTGGCTAATTCTTACATCTTGATTACCCATTTCTATTAATGTGTGTAGCACCGAGGTGTACTTACTGGGAAGATTCTAGCCTATGTCCATCCTGGGTCAGAGCTTCATCGTGTCTGCCTGGGAGAGAGGAGCATGGCATCTGAGCTCACTTCCTCATCCTTCCAGCATTCTGTTCTGTTTACTCCACCCACTTATGTTCTAACCTATCAGGGCCAAGCAGTTTAGAAAAATCTAAGGATTTCCTATATTTCTAAAAGTTTCAAACCCATGTGTTCGCCTCTCCTCCATAGGGAGTTCCTATGCTGGCTTTTATTTTGTCATTGAAGACTTGTGTAACTATCATTTTATCATGTCCTGAATTTGAAACTTAAAAACCCCACTAACCTAAACGGCAGTCTTTATTCAATGCAACTTGACTAATCTTATCCCACATTATTCTGGGAATGTGTTATTATTCACATTTTATGTTTTCATCAAAATTTCCCATCATCCTACTGGAATCTATAGATATTATGTAGGTCTCTGCCATTCAGTAAATGCTTCCACACAGCAGCTAAAATTACAGACAGCAGAAGGCAGAAAGTTTCATTATTCATCTTTTATTCAAAGTAAGAAAAATATTTACAGTCAATAGAATGAGCATATACTTTTCTTAACAATATATTTTACATTTTTCATTTGTATAATTTTTAATCATAAAATAATTTGATTATAGCATATGTAAAGGTAGTTAAAATTAACTAAATTTTAGTAATATATTTACTTTTTTAAAGCAGGGATATTTTTATTTAATTTTATGTCTATTGGTGGTTTGGTGTGGGCGCATATCTGTATATCACACCCAGGTATTAGCCAGTGAGGCCAGAAGGAGAGATCAGATAACCAGGAACTGAAATTACAAACAGTACTGAAACACCGTGTTGGTACTAGAAACAGAACCCAGGCCTTTTGTAAAACTTGTTTAACATTAGTTCCCACAGTTTTTGAGCAATTTTCTCTGTAGTTGTCAAGATAATGAGAGTAAAATCAATATTTTTTACTAAGCTATATGCTTACAAAGTTGCTTCAGGAAAGCAATATGTCTCTTGATCAATATGAATAATTCTTAAACAGTGTCTTTTAAAGATGGTAAGACACTGCTTATAGCTACAGGGAAATGTTTATAAACTCAAGCCTTATACATGAGAAATTTTGAAACTATTAAATGCAAAATTAATTCAAAAATGTGTCCTTCAATGATTTATTAAGATAATTATTCAGAGATGTATGATCTTATATATAGCTCATTGGGTAAAATGTAAACAAATTCTCTTTTTACCATCTATCAATATCCTATGGAATTTTCATATTATTACATGCATGTAAAAGGAAAGGTGGGCTGCTTTCCAGCCTGGCTCCCACAGGGCTAGCTTATGCCCCGAAATAACAACACACAAATTGTGTTCTTTTAAACACTGCCTGGCCCATTATATTTAGTCTCTTCTTGACTAACTCTCAAATCTTGATTAACCCATTTCTAATAATCTGTGTAGCACCACGAGGTGGCGGCTTACCAGGAAAGATTCAGCATGTCTGACCTGGCAGCTGGCTCCATTGCGTCTGACCAACTATGCTTTCTTTCTCCCAACATTCTGTTTTGTCTACTCCACCTATCAAAATCCAGCCCTATCAAAAAGCCAAGGCAGTTTCTTCATTATCCAATGAAAGTAACAAATAGACAGATGACCCTCCTCCATCACATGTATTTCTTAAGATAATTCTGTCGAAAATTTTATCATTTAATCTTCCTTGTTGAGATGAAGAAACAGTTTTTAATATATGGAAAGTTTAGAGTTTCCATCCAATAGCAGAGCAAAGATTGGTTTTGACTTCCTTCCCTCTTAATGAATATTACATTATAACCATAGCATTGTAATACTTACCAAAGACTTGAAGGAAAGCCTGCTTTTCATCTTCTCCTGCCTTATTTATGGCTTTGCAGACATAAGAACCACCATCTTTGTTGATTATATTTCTGACCGTGAGCTCTGTATTACTGCCCTTTAAAATGTATTTTTCATTTTCTTCAATGAGCTTGCCATTCCTAAATAAATAATGAAAAAGTTGATATTCACAATATAATGATATACATTTTTATGAGCAGTAAAACTGATTGTTATAGTTCAGTCAAAACACATTTTTACTTTTCAAGTAAACCTAAGACAAATGTATAAAACAATACTTGATATTTAGTTTCATTTGAAGATAAAAATGACATTTTGAATTTGAAATCCTAATATTAATCAAATAATGAAAATATATAACTTCAACTTAGACAATATTATAAAATACTGTTTTTATTACAGGTTTATAATTCACTTTGCACCTTATTAATTAGTTAATATACAATCATGTAACATATTTATATACACATGTGGATGACATAAGCACAATTTCTGTGAGAATTCCTTTAATCTCATAAGAAACAATATAAATGACATGAATTTATTTTTATATAAGTCTCATCAATAAAAATTAATGTGGTAGTATAGAGAAAAATTTTTTCTCATAGTTATCAATCAATAATTATTATTTTCCAATTTATTTGTACAATGAAATATATTTCCTACAAAATTTATGTAGTTATAGTAATAATGGCTATTAACATTTTTCTATTATATTTTAAAAGCATAAAATATTTTAAAACTTCATTCCACATTATAAAATTTCTTTATTTATTTCTTTTACTTATATTTTTATTTCATTTTGCTCATTTTATTTTCCCTTTACTGTTTTGCATATTTCTATTTCTAAATTATATTTGGCAATTTGTGAGCTGAATTGATACTATGGCCATCGACAGCATCTTTCTGTGGTGGAGAATATTAATATATCTGTATCAGTTTAAATTTCAACATAAAAATTCTAGATGATTATTTTAAAATCCTTCCTACAAATAAACACAGCAAGACTTTTTTTATTTTTATTTTTATTTATTTATTTATTAAAGATTTCTGTCTCTTCCCCACTGCGGCCTCCCCTTTCCCTCCCCCTCCCCCAATCAAGTATCCCTCCCTCATCAGCCCAAAGAGCAATCAGGGTTCCCTGCCCTGTGGGAAGTCCAAGGACCACCCACCTCCATCCAGGTCTAGTAAGGTGAGCATCCAAACTGCCTAGGCTCCCACGAAACCAATAGGTACAATAGGATCAAAAACCCATTGCCATTGTTCTTGAGGTCTCAGTAGTCCTCATTGTCCACTATGTTCAGCGAGACCACAGCAAGACTTTTATATACCATTGAATCTTTCAACAGAATTATATTAATACATAAGTCACAGCAATAACATCAGAGACATCACAAGCATTTTCAAAATATACACCTGAAATATAAGCAATGAAAATATAAGATGATGGAAATCTTTCTGTAGTTAGTGAATACTGTTTATGTGACCATAGAACTTGAGGGTATAGAAATGCAAATTTTAGAGCATGAAGACATAACAAAGAGTAAGCAGGAGAAAAGAGAATTGAAATAATGTTTCATTTTGTACCTCTTACTGCTAAACAAACCCATGAAACATTCTTGCTGTTTGAACCTGAGATGTATAGAATTTAAATACAGAAGATATTGCTTCAAAATGACAACTACAATGGTAAAAAATGGAAGTAGAAATATGCATATTTATATGCAAATTTAAATAATAGTTAGAAAAAATATATAGAAACTTCAAAAACTTATTAATAAAAAGTGGGTCATATGTATGAATATGTACAGATAACAACCATTATTAAATAGAAATGGGTTACACACTTTTATGTCTGTTTTTTAAATGTACAGAATATTTACTAGCATGCACTGAAATAGAAGAAAGAGTGAATTGGTAAATGTTATTAAATAATTTGCTAATTGGCAAGTATTTAATATAATTAACAAATAACATAAAAAATTGAAGTCAAACATAACCACAGACTGAAAGAAAACAGCATCCTTAGAAAAGACGCTGTTTAGGAAGATAAATGCAAAGTACACAGAAAGAAAATAACAAAAATAGAAGCAATATTCACTGAAGCTAATGCAAATTAAAAGTTTATTATGTTTACAAATTGTACACACACACACATATATATACAGAGAGAGAGAGACAAAGATAGAGAGACAGAGACAGACAGAGGGCAGAGACAGACAGACAGAATGAATAAAAAGGGCATAGAATAAGAAACGAATTCTGAAGTTATCAAGGCAAGAGAAAGAAGAACACTGACGCAATATAGAAATTAAATATGTAACAAGGTTTAATGGATTATGCTAGGCTCTTACATGGAATTAAAGACCATGAACACATTTCTATAAAAACATGTCATTAAAGACTGGATAATAGAGAAATCACCTGAATAGCCCTTCATCACAACAATAAAAATGCATTTATAGTACAACCTTTAGCCAAAAAAAAGTGATGAAAAGCTGGTTCAGCTAATTTGAATAAGAAACAATCAAGGCTGACTTTTCAACTTTGTCACAAAATAGTACAGGAAGATATACTCATTTTGATTCTCAGCTGGGAGAATCTGGAATTGCCGTCAAAACAAATCTTTGTGTATCTGTGAGGGAGTTTTTCGATTAAGGTTGTTAAAAGTGTAGCTGGCTAGTCCAACAGTACCATCCAAAGGCTGGAATTCTAAGCAGAATAAAAAGGACAAAGGTAGCTGGGCCGAAAAATTCAGAGCTGTCCTCTGATGCAATTGAATCAGGTGTTCCGTGTTCCCCTGCTATCCCTCAGTGGAAGGAAACCTCAAACTGTGAGCAATATTACTGTCTTCTCTTAATTACCTTTGTAAAATATTCCTTCACAAAACAGAGTAGCCCTTTAACAATTCAAGCACAAAAATAGGATTACTGAGCATGCAGCAGCTATATCAGCTTCTTAATCCTTGTACTGCATAAGAAAGACATCAGAATCTGAATAGGAGTGTGTTTTGTTTTAATTTATTTACTCATTTTATGTCCCAACCACAGTTTCCTCTCCTTTCTCTCTTCTTACCCCTTTCCCTGCTAATTCCTCCTTCTCTGTTTCTGTTAAGGAAAGTGACAGGCTTCCCATGGGTATCACCAAAGCATAAATTCTTAGATTCCAGTGGGACTAATCTCTTCCCCTTGTACTAAGGCTGGACAAGGTAATGCATTATTCGGAGTGGGTTCCTAAGAGGCAGCCAATGCTTAAGGACAGCCCTTGCTCCCGTTGTTAGGAGTCCCACAAGCAGACCAAACCACACATCTGTCACATATGTAGAGGGCCTAGTTTGGTCCTATGCAGGCTTCCTGAATGTTGGTCAGATTCTATGAGTTCCTCTGAGCCAAGTTAGCTGTATCTGTAGGTATTGTGATATTCTTGACACCTCTGTCTCCTACAATTCTTTCTCCCTCTCTTCAGCAGAATACCCTAGCTTGTCATGTTTGGCTGTAAATCTTGCATCTGTTTCCAACAGTTAATGAATGAAAGTTCTTTGATGAGAACCAGGGTAGTCACCAATCTGATCAGAGGAGAAGGCCAGTTCATATTACATATTAAATATTACTAGAAATCTTAGCTGGGGACATTATTGTAGATTTGTGGAAGTTTCCCTTTCATCGGGTTTCTACTTGATTCTGAAATGCCCCCTCCCTTCCGAGTCATCTCTTTCAACACTCCTCTCCTCCATTCATCCCTTCACCTGATCCCTCAAGTTCCCATCCGCACCCAGGAGATTACTTCAATTTCCCCTTCCCAGGGATATCCATGCATCCCTCTTTGTGTCCTCCTTATTACCTGGTCTCTCGTATAGCATAGTTATTCTTTACTTTACAGCTAATATCTATTGTGTGAGTACATACCACCTTTCTGGGTCTGGGTTACTTTATTCAGTATGATTCTTTTTTTCTGGTTCCAACCATTTGCCTTCAAATTTCACGATGTCATTATTTTAATACCTGAATAACACTCCATTGTATAGATATAGCACACATTCTTTATCCAATATTTGGTTGAGGAATATATAGGCTGTTTCCAGGTTTTGTCTGCTAAGAATAAAGCTGGTATCAATGTAGTTGAGCAAGTGTCCTTGTGGAATTATTGAGCATACTTTAGGTATATGCCCAAGAGAGGTATAGCTGGGTCTTGAAGTAGATTGATTCCTAATTTTCTGAGAAGCCAACAATATTACTTTACAAAGGGACTGCACAAGTTTGCACTCCCACCAGCAATGAAGGCATGTTCTCTTTGCTATACATCCTCTCCAGCATAAACTGCCATTAATGTTTTCGATCTTAGCCATTACGAAAGCTGTAGGATGGAATTTCAGAGTCATTTTGATTTGCATTTCCCTGATGGCTAAGGATGTTGAACATTTCTTTAAGTGTTTCTGCTGAGAATTCTCTGTTTAGGTCTGTACATGGTTTCTTTTTAATTGGATTACTATATTTTTTTAATGAGAAGAAACCAAGATAACTAAAACAATCTAATCAATAAAAGAGCTGCCATTGGTATCACTGTTCCTGACCTGAAGCCACACTGCAGAATTATGGTGATAAAAACAGGATGGTATTGGCATAAAAACAGGCAGGTAGATCAATAGAATCAAATCAAAGACACAAGCATAAATCCATATACCTATGCACATCAGATTTTTGACAAAGAAGACCAAATTCTACAATGGACAAAAGAAAGCAACTTCAACAAATGGTGCTGGCAATATTGGTTATCAGCATGTAGAAGAATACAAATAGGTCCATATTTATCATCAAATCCAACTGTGTTAAAGACCTTAACAAAAATACAGTAACAGTCAACCTGATAGAAAAGAGTGGAAAGTAGTCTTCAACACATTGGCACAGGAGACAACTACGTGAATAGAAAATCAATAGCACAGACAATGAGATTGAAAATTAATAAATGGGACCTCATGAAACTGAAAAGTTTCCGGAAGGCAAAGGCCAGTTGCAATAAGACAAAAGGCCACCCTGCAGCATGTGAAAATATTTTCAGTAATCCACATCCAAGAGAGGGCTGATCTCAAAAATAAATGAATAGGGGAGTCTTAAGAGAATGCATTGTGATATTTACTCTGTAAATCAATAGAATTCACCTAATCAATAGAATTCACCTAATTAATAGACTGACAACAATAATCTAGTGGATATTTTATTTTAAAATTTTTCATATGATATATTTTGATATTATTCTTCCCTTCCCCAACTCCTCCTGTCACCATTTGAATGTTGGCTCCCTAACTCTTTAAGTGAATCAATTTGGAGACAGAGACTTCAAAAATTAAAGAAATAAAACAAGTTTGTGTTTGAATAAGTGACACTTGCATTTGATGGATAGTGTGTGTGTGAAGTCTGATTGACGGCTGAGCTCCATAAATCCACATGGCATTTTCCCTCCTCTCCAGCACTGGTTTTACAAGCACGAAAATGCAAACACATATCTGTTACGTGGATTGTATGGATAGAACTAAAGTTCCCATGTCTGTGTCATCTCTCTATCTCAAAAACCTATGATCTAAAAAAATAAAATAAAAAAGCCGCATTTATATGCAGTGGAAAGGCTGTAACAGGATAAAGTGAAGAAGTGGACATCAGGATGCAGGGAGAAAGTCCTCATCAGCAACCAGTCCCACTGGTACCTTGAACTTGGATACCAGGCCTCCAGAAATGTGCAGAAATACATTTCTGCCATTTTAGTCACCTAATACATGTGTTTTCTTACAGTAGCCTGTGGATACTAACTCAGTGGGCTCCTATCATATCACTTGTGTGTACCATCTCTGCTTAGCAGGTTGTCTGGATCCTTTAGTGCATCTAACTACACTTTCCAGTGTTTACAAGAATTTATTTTCAAAGTTTTGATATGCTATATCTACAGATAAATGGGATCAAATAAAATTTTCAGTAAAATAAATATATCTGTACAAATGTTACAACAATACAATCCTATTCACACAATACATTTAAAACAATCAGGCACCAAAAAATTGTTTGGTTTCTAAGTATTCTCCATTATCACCAAGAAATGGTATTTGAAGGCATACAGATGAAGAAATATAAACATTCTGGACTTGATTAATTTTAGTTCTTATGATAATTATTTCCAAAAAAGTATAAGAAAATAATTTTCAAGAAATTTAAAAACAGAAGTTAAATACCTCTGGGCATGTATAATCATTAGGTTAATGGTCTAGATAATTATTTGTTCTTGGGGATGAATGACATAGAAACTTTTTTATGACTCAATTAGATATACTATGAACTCAAGGGATTATTTGGAATCCGGCATTCACTTAGACACATACTAGCCTTGGGCTAGTATGCTAATGTCTGATGGACAATTCCAGTCAAATATTATTACCAAGAATTAAAATCTGCATAAATAAGTTCCATTCACCTTGTTTGTAGAAATATTAAGCTTATTGAATACTACTATGATAAAATTATAAACAAGATAAAGATCTTAAAATCCTATTATCAAGACTTGTTTAAAGAGCAATAAAAATAATTGTGTATATTCTTATTTTTAAAACATTACAAAATTTAAATATTGTGAATTTTATCTTTGTATATACAGACTATAGTTATTAAGTTTCAAACCTAGGACAAACAGCAGAGGTGCCTATTTAACATATAAAGATTTGACCTGGCCACCAGATTCTCCCAACATCCCTCAGTCCCTACCCTTTAAAGGATACACTTTACATAGCCCACTCTCTCCTCTGAAGTCTCCAACACAGAGGCTGCTCTGCCTTCCTCCAGAACCTCTTATCTCTGTATAATCCAGACATTTTGATTACTTGCCCCTTCCCTTTTGTACCTTTGGCTCCCTGGCTGCTGCACCTGGTTCCCCTCTTATCTTCTCTCTCCTCTTTCTTCCACATCTCTCACATGACCCAGATCAGTCTAGTTAAGTAGACTCTTCCAGATGTCCTTGCCTCTGACTATGCTTTCCTACCATAACATTTCTCCCCACTGCACCTAGGAGCAGTTATGTCCTTTCCTTTCTTTTTCCTTTATTTCATTCAATACTAATTACTTTGTGATATTTCCTTACAGATTGCCATTTATAACAATTGTTAAAGATCTTAGTGTTCCTGCAATAAACTCCATATTTATATTTTGTATATTAAGTATTTTGTACATACATATTATAAACAAATATTTATATATGTATGTATAAAATACTTAAGTATGTATATTTGTGAAGCCAGAGTATAATATAGGGTATGACATTCAGGAATGCTGTCATTTGCTTCTTGACAGTGTTTGTCATTGGGCTCATCACTTATCCTGGAGGGGCTTGCCAGTGATCTACGATCCTAGTGTATCCACGTATTTATCCTTAAATTGACAATACCAGCATATCTGGAATATTCATAGCGATATAATCTAACTCAGGATCAAATGCTTATGAGGTAAGCACTTAAGTGACTAAGCCAAATCCTTAGCCGCATAAACTGTGCTCTAATTCTTATGTACAAGACTGACCTTTTGAAGCTTTATTGTCTTCAATTTATTCCTTTGAGCAACAGTCAATGATAACAGAGAACAATAAAATGGTGCTTGGTAATAATGGAATCGAAGCACATTTGAAAACTTAAAATAATAGGCAGAAGTAAACATTTAAAGAATAGTTTTTAGAATACATTAATTTCTTTTTATGAGAATTTTTTAAATTAAAAAATATCTTCTTGAAATGTCATATGTATATTTAATTTATAATGTAGTACAAAAAAGAAAATATGCAGTTACGTTCACATAATAGTAAATGATGTTGCATTCAAACAATATGGTTGCTAAGAATGCTAAAATATCCATTTTAATACAGACTTTGTTCCAGCCGCAAAACATAGACTCCATCAGTAACAAGGCTGCAGGGCCAACGCTGAACAAAAAATACCTCAGTAGCTCCAGTAAGCAGTCTCTGTCAATCGTTCCCTAAGGGACATTACGACAAGCTCACATGCTGTACTCTTCGTCTATCCAATCTAATATAATTAGCCCGTAATTAATAGCACCTGAGGCAGGCAAGATGCCTCATTGAGGTAAAGTACTAACAAGTTTGGAGATCAAAGTTTATTCCAGTTTCCACAGTGAAAGGCAAGAACCAGATCTTGAAAGTCGTCCTTTGAGATCCATAAATATGCTATGGTATGTACACACCAGTACTGTCTCACACCCAAGCACACGCACATGAACATTCATACACAAGCACACTAATTGTCAATTATTTTTAGAGCTCGTTTCATTATTTCTGTTATTTATGAGATATAAAACAGTTATATCATTCCCTTAACCTTTTCTCCTTCTAAAATCTCCTTGTTTATTTGCTTTTCTTTTTATCTTATTAAAAATAGATTTTTTTCATATAATATATTTTTATTTCGGTTCTCTTCCCTGTCATGTCTTCCCTACTTCCCCTCTCATAATATTTCACAACCTTTCCTCCTCTTTCTCCTTAGAAATCAAACAGGCATTTAAACAATGAAATAAAAAACAGGGAAACTAGAATAGTACAAAACAAATAGAAAAAAGGGTCCAAAAGAAGCTTTTTCAAATCCATGCTATCTTTTCTTATTAATTTTTGTTACATCTAGGTATGTTTACGTATACATATATTCCATAATAAAACCCACTCGGGCTATAAAATGTTACTTGTATGTCTGATTTCAGAGATGATTCTTTGGTGTTAGATAATATATATTTTAAATGCGCCTAGGCAATGTTTGTCTCTTTCTATATAATTGTACTTTCAAATATTGCTCTGTGAGCCCAAGAACACCACATAGAAGACATGGGTCCTTTACTTACCGAAACCAAGAGATGGTAGGATCTGGAGAGCCTGAGGCCCTGCAAGTTAATGTCATCTCTTCTCCTCTCTCTGCAGTAGCATTGAAGGACTTCTGGGGCATCACAATGACTGGTGGAACTGAAGGACAAAGGACAGAGTAAAGAGCTGCAATCATAACGCTGCACGAACTATATTTTGCCACTGTCTTTTAGTGCTTTGAACTTCATTGTTGCTTTCTGTTTGCACAGAGAATTAAGGTCAGTGATATGTTTTCTTATATATAATTGGATAATTCACCATGTTATTAGTTTAGTATTTCTCAACCTGTTAAACAATGAATTGTGTATTTTAGCGAACATATATAATGCAGGAAATATGTCTCATACAAAGACACAGCAGCACTGACTTAATCCATACTGAAATCTACTTTTAGCATAAATGGATTTCCTATTTGGGTTCTTATTGGCCTATGTAATTCCATAGGCCATCATTCACTGTTTCAAGACAGGGCTTTCAAATTAGGTGTCAAACCATAATGTTCTTTCTGATTAACTACACTTAATTTCTTCAAACAACTATAAAACATTTTATGAAGAGAAACTGCTTCGGCTATAGAGTATGAAAATAGATTTTCATGAACAATTCAATTTTAAAATTAAGCTTCCTCAATTTCAAACTAATTACATTGCAAGATTGTACACGCTGCATATTCTGGTCATGGTGAAACTGTGGCTGAAATGCAGTGTTTGCAATAAACAGGTCACAGACTTTCACAGTACTGCTTCAATATCAAAGTAAGCCTGTGCTGGGACTCAATGCTCATCTGCATGCACTTAAATGGTATATGATAAAGTACTACATATAAAATAAATATGTTAATACATTGATTACCCCCCCAACTCTCTAAATAGACAGGTAGTAGTTAGAGGTATGATTACAATCTTCAGAGTAGTGCACAGGTCAGCATTATAAGGCATTGTCACAAGGAAAATAAGAGAATGCATTTTTTTTTTTACGACAGGGTTTCTCTGTAGCTTTGGAGCCTATCCTAGAACTAGCTGACAAGGCTGGCCTCACACTCACAGAGATCTGCCTGCCTCTGCCTCCCAAGTGCTGGAATTAATTCCTAACCCTGGGCGTGCACCACCAACGCCCAGAAAGATAATGCATCTCAGTAACTAAACACAGTACCTCACATGTTTGCCATTATGAGGGTTGATACACAGATCATAATCTTACATGGAATATCATAATATTTATGATTAGAATGCCCAAAGATGGACTTATAGATATTAACTCTTAGTTTGAAGGACATATTCATTTCTCTATATCCCATGGCCTTTCTGTTAATATGGACAGAATAATTTTTTCAATACATAACTTACTACTGCAATGTTTTGTTTTGTAAGTGAATATCAAATGAGGCATGAGACTTCTTGTGCTCTCTTTATTTTAATTCTTTTTTAAATATTATAAGATAATACCAAGTTTCCCTTCCCTCTCCTCCTTTCCAATCCCCCAATACTTCTCCCCATCTTTCTTCATATGTATGGTCTGTCCTATGTATTTTGCTCTTGCCTTAGAATTACACATGGAAATATAATGCTCTTTTTCTTTTCCTTTGGCAAGTTATCAGGTTTTGAGAATTCAGGAGTATAACAGTCCTGACATGTCCGGAAGGTGTTATCTTGCCCAATCTATAACTTATAATTTTTCTGCCCTGCTCCTCTAGTTTTCTTGAGGCCTTGGGGATAGATAGAAATAGGACAGAAATGTCCCATATAAGATTGACTAAATTCTACGGTTACTTGGTATCTGGACTTCAAAAAGTTTTTGGAGGCTATAATCAGCACCATTCATTGCAAATTGTAAGTGAAGTTGAGGAATGGTTAAATTGTTTATATGGTAGCAACACATTTTCAATGCACTGCAGAAAGCAAAAATATTAGCAGAAATCCCTCTATTATGTTTCTTTAGATAGAAACACTTCTGCACTAGAAGAGAGTTTTTTTTTAGTTTTTTAGTTCCCTTGCTGATGTTGTTGCTAACTGAAAAAGGCTGCTTAAACTTTGCCATAATTTTATTATCAGGAAAATTTCAAGGTTGGAAAAATATTACTGCTTATGTTTTACATAACACTGAAATTATTAAGAAAATGTTCATTCTTATATTACAGTGTAAACCAACAGAAGTATAGTCTAACTAAAAATTTTATACCATGTTCTTAAGACCAATTACTAGGCTGCTCAGATTAATGTGACACCCACGAAACCAAATCACACTATTGTCTTTTGCTCTTTTAATTGGTTTGCTTTTTCTCCCATTTTAGGTACTATAATATAAACTTATATCTCTCAGCTTGACCAATATATTTTTATTTTTATTACATTTACTTATTTGTATATGTAATCTTACATGCATACTCCTGCCATAGAAGGAGGGTGGCTGTCAACAGACGACCTTAGGGAGTCATTTTTTTCTTTGTTCCACTATGTATGTCTCAAAGAATGGTGGTAAGAAAGATTATACACTGAGCCATGGCCCTGTTCTAGCACAACTGATTCGTTGTCAACTTGACACTCATGCACATCACTTTTAAGTCACTACCTTGCCTTTCTCATTCATCTCTAATATCTAACATTAATATTGACACCACAATATAAACTATTCCAAAATGTTAAAACCCCACATCTTTAAAAATTCAGGCTTTTAAAATACAACTTCTTTTAAAATCCAAGTCTCTCAACTGTGGGATCCTGTAAAATCAAAATTAAAATCAATAATTTATGACTTACTTCAAGAGGGAAGAGCCAGGGCAATGTAACAAAATGAAAAAGCAAAAGCAATCTCCAAAAGCTTAAGTAACTCAATGTCCAGTCAAGTGGGATTCAATCACAATCTTCTGGGCTCCTCCAAAAGGCATGGATCACTTCTAGGTCTCCATACTCTCTGCATGTTATCTTCTAGGGTCCAGCGGGCTCCACTCCACAGCTGCTGCTATTCTTGGTGGTCATCCCTTATATTGTCATCTCCAAAACATTGTGATCTTTGTCAGAAATTTGGCAGCACTTTCTCAAGCAATCTCTGTGAGGCTCTTTTAGTGGTGTCGGACCTCAAGTTCTATGCATGGCCCCTTCAAACAAAGGCCTTCAATTACCTCTGGGGCTGAATCTTCACCAATGGCCTCTCGTGACCTCTCACAGTGTCAAAACTCAGTTATTCTCAATGACACCTTTATGACTTCTAAACCAGTACTATCTGCCTGAATATTACACTAGCGTGTTCAACATCAAGGATGAGGTACAGCCTTAGCTGCTTCCAAACACAGTTTTGGTATGCTATCAGGGAATACCTCCCAGAAGATTTAGCCTCAACACTGCTAGTCACTTCAGCTCCAGTTGATCAGCATCAAGTATCCATGCAGGCAAAGGTTTCACTCTTTTCTTGAACTTGGCATAAATTTTATATAGTGATATATANTATATATGATTATTTACCGAGAACTACAGAGTACCAGTCTCAGCACTCTTCCAGGGTTCAGAGTAAGACTTCTGTGACAAGCGAAAGCTGTCTTGGGAATGGGATCTGAGGGGAAGAATAAACTAACTGACTCAGGCACGTTTTTCCTGTATTTTCTTTATTCCTTGGGGGAAGATGAAAGAAGGGAGAAGAAGAGTATAAGAGCATAAGGCTAAGGGCAAAGCGTCAGACATAAGAACAAACAGTAGGGGTGAAGGCGACAGGCATAAGGCATCAGGGGAAAGGGGGATAAGACGATACGGGATAACGGCAAAGTGTACTGTTAAGGGCAACGGTAAGGAATAAGGCAGAAAAGTAAGGGATAAGAAGAGCAAGGGTAAAAGGAGACGTGATGTCCACAAAGCTCTCAGTTCATATAGACACACAGACAAGTTAACAGTCCCATAGGCGGTGACAATAGTATCAGGCATACATTTTCACAGAGTCAAAGGAAGCCAATGGATCTGGCAAGAAGCCACCTTATGTCTCAGTGGGGGCATAGCTGTGAAGTTTGCCCTCAGGCTAGCTATACTAACCTGCAGGGTTGGTTTGCATTTGCATCTAGCTGGTTGAGTTAAAAATCTCTTCTGGGGATCCTGCTTTTGATTCCGGTAGGGTGCCAAGGTGAGAATTTTTCTCTCTGAAGCTAGTTTTAGCAACTCAGGCACCCCCCCCCCGTATAAACAGCTAATTTCTTGTATTATGATCTTATATTAGTTGAGACCAAGGTGAAGGGTTGATGTATAATATTAATACTCTGTTAGTTAAGAGCAGAAGACCAGTGGAGTGGATTACACCTCCCTGCATTTGCTGGTCGAGCAGAATACCTGCTATATGAGGCTCCTTTCCTGTCAGTGAGTATTATTAATAAAGTGTGTGGGGGACTATTTTTATGTACATTTTGGCTATGAGAACAAGGATTGACTGAATCATTTTCACACCATGGCTTTATGGTGTGTGGGGAGGTGTCTCTTTGCTTTGCAGGAAAAATAGGTTTATACACTGTTGGGATACTATAGAAGAGAGAACTGTCATGATTTCACAAGATTTTTTTTTCAAAGTTGACAATGACTTATTCAAAGGACAGATGTGTTTATAGCTCTGCAAAAATGGGTTCTCCAGGTGCTGTGCATGTATACACTTGCAGTGGATAGTTAAATAGATCTGTCAGTTGTACATTCACTGTATACTACTTGTGGGCTCACCACAAATTGTATTAAACATTACCTCTCAAATTATAATATTAAATTTGTTTTCTTATTGCTAGCTGTTTTCCATGGTATTAATCTCTAAAGCAGTTTTTTTCTCTTTATTGATGCTTAGGATTCTATAACATTTCACAAATATTATACAGAAAATTGTGAAGTTTTATTTCTTATACCAAAAAGTGCTGTTCCTCATTTTCGCGCCCTACAGAAATGAGTTGGTGTAGGTAGAAATACAACGTAAGCAGTCTGGGGATTACTGAAGAACACATTCCTCTGTAGTTGGCCGCTGACTTTCTGATGTATATCCAGCCATTATCATCTACTGTGGACAAGAAGAGCAACAGGGATAATTTTCACCCAGCCTCAATTTTTCCGAGCTCCATTACATAAAACTTGAATCTGTGGTTAATGGATAATTTTCATAGATTTACAGATTTAGGAAATAGGGAGCATTGTTTCTATAGGAGTAATCTTGCACTGACTTTTAAATTTATGACCCCTGTTCTTTAATATGTAAGGATATTTTCATAGGTGGGGAGCTGGAAATCAGACAGGACAGAAGTAGTGATGAAGACAAGGGAAATAACACTGGCTTCACTTTAAAAAGTATATGTATGATTTGTGTACATCTTTGTGTATATGCAGACCATAGTTATCTAGTTTCAAATCTTAAAGACTTCATGAAAAAGCCTGTCATTTCAAACATTTATATTGATGTATTCTTGAAATACTTTCCAGGCAATTCAAGAGTTAAGGAAGGTATAATCATAAAAGGAATGCAAACACTATGTCTCCATTACAATGAATTGCATGCACGTTTATGCTGAATTCAGGTTAAGCTACTTAAATGATAGCATTCCCTTTGATGTCTCCTGTAAGTGTTTAATTGCCAAATTGAGCATAAATATTTAAATTCACACCTTATTAGACTTTGTTAGCTTGTGCTGTACTGGAAACCAAGGACTCTACACTAGGCATCTGGAAATGAACCTTCATTGTTGTCAGGTGGAACATGACATTTTTGATCATATACTGCTTAATTACATCCTTTCATAATCATTTTCTTCTCCATTAGTTGGGTTCCAGTTATTGATTACAATTCCCAACCTCCCTCCTAGTAAGAGCTTTCTAACCTTCTGTAATAGTTTCTCCTCAAAGAAGCCTATAATTATCCCATAGAAGGCAGACAGTTATGTAAGGACATACACAGCATCCTCTATGACCTGTCTCTGATTTTTCAGCTGTATCTAACCTGATTTCTAACCCATTTAATACTACCAGTATATTTGTACTCCCTCAAATAATGTATTATACTCACATTTCTTTTGCTGTGTTCAGACCCATGGCCAGTTTTTATTTTTTATAATTATGCTTTGGTTTACAAACTGTTTCTTCTCTCCAAATTTTAATAAATCACAAATAATCATTATTAGATTTCTTCTCAATAACAAGGGGCCATTCTTTTCTAGCAATATTGGTAGCATTATAATTTAAAATCTTCTCTTTGGTTAAGCATTACAACTACTTGGGAATCCTTACATCTTGAAAACTATAGTGGGGGTTAATTAATACATTTGGTTAAAAGTGATTGTGAGATTAAAGTCTAAGTGTCTCAGCAAATACAATGTGACCTTAGATATTCTATATGTCCAAATATAATGTACAATGAAACAATATGTATATAGCTATTCAATTAATTTATAAATTCAACCCCTGAATTTTGAAAGCAAAAGAAAACTTGTGAAATTTGTTTTTCTTTAAATATTTTAATAAGGTAAAAAATCTTTATAATAAATAATAACTATCTTGGAAAAAGGGGTAAACACTCTAGAAAACCCCAGGAACGTAATTTTCAGTTGGAATGTAGTCAAAATTAATTGTAAGATGAAGAAATAAGTATTTAATATTCCATTTTCTCAAAAATACATTTTATTTTATAAATATTACATCTCTATACCTTTATATACACTATGAGTACATTTTCATTTTTCAGTAATATTCACATGTTGATGAAATATATATTTGTGTCACAATGAGTCTAATAAAATAAGACCAAGATAAAGGCCAGAATAACAAGGGAAACGTTTGTAACAAGTAATTGAGAAAGACCTATGTATTAATTAAAAAATAGTAATACAGGAAGAGTCAAATTGTAATTTAAGAAAGAGGAGATAATGCATGAAAAAGCCACATTTTATTTATTTATTTTTACAGTTTTGAAGTCTCAAACTCTCCATTAAAAAAATCTATGAGGGGTCAGAGAACTGTAACAGACACATGGCCAGGGAAATCTTTCTGAGAAGCTCGAGTTTCAGAAGGAACCAATGAAAGGAAAAAGAGTCAATAAGATTGGAATAGAATGAATTTCCGGACTAAATCAAAGAACATGCAAGAGAAAAATCACAGTATTCTGGTTATATTGGTCAATGTGTTTTCTTCACAGAATCTGACTAAACCACCTCAAGCAGAAGCAATCAATACTGGGATTGGTGAACACTTATTTTACAGAAATGAAGTTCTAGTTACTTTAAAGTATGAGAGCTTGTGACCATAAAGGAAAAACACGGTGAATTAGTATTGTTCACCCAGAGATGATTTGAGTTTGTATCTGAGTCTGTATAGGAAAGGGCTATGCACCTGGCTTTAGGGTGATTAATCAGACACAGACAAAATAATGTCATCTACATGACTGTTTTCATGGCCGGAAATACTTTCGTATATTTACCTTTCTGGCCAACTCTTAATAAATAAGAAGACAAAAACTTCAGATTTTACTTTTAGTGTAGAATTTATGTGAGGAATTTAAAGATTTAAATCGATTCTGTTAACTAAAAAGTAACCATATTAACTCAATTATTAAAGCTGAGGAAAATATTACGTGATACATATGCCATAGAAACTTAAATATCAATCTAATAAGAGATGTTTTTATGTTTCAGTTTGTACTCTTTTAGATCCATATCCAATAAAAATCAAGTTACATACTAAAAAGTAAGGGCATGTGAGACTGGATGTTTAGTTGAAATGCAATATAAGAAATGTAATTTGTGAAATTGGTGGATTTTACAGGCGTAGATTGCATCTACTAGGGATATATTCATTGTTGATTTTAGAGTTAACCTCCTAACAAACATGGCTGAAATACAGAACACAAAGCGCACAAATACTTTCTAGCTTACCATTGACAATAACAATGATATCCCGGAAGTCAATCTCTCCCCTTGCCTCCACTCTCCCTTCACATCTGTATATACCTTCATCACTTTTATTGATGTTGAGAATCTGCAAGTTATTGTTTGCAAGCACAGCAAACCGATCTGAAAAACCAGCAAAGGAGAAGAAATGACATCAGTGATTGGATCTGAGGCCAGAGCACTCCGAGTTTCTAAGAGTTAAACTACAGCACTTTCCTGACACCATCCAACTTTCCATCAACCACAAATTCAAATTTGAAAGTAAAATGTAATTTCACAACTTCAAGTTTTCCACTCTAGCTCTGCCTTGCTATATCCCCCCCTAAAATACATTCAAGACTTTATATCCACATAAAATGGTTAGGCTATTATTTTATCCTTGGTGCTCTGAATGCAGAAATGATGCACAAAAAGAACAATGCAAGGAGTTTAGATAGTGCTGACCCGACAGCTTTTAAGTGCAAACAGCCACTTGGCTGTGGAAAGTAGTTAGAAAATTTATTGAACATCTTTCCTCAAGAATAATTAAACTGCCAATTCTTCTGTAACCTGAAAAGGCAGCCAAATGACATGCTAATGTGCAAACCACGTACAGGATATAAGAATGGTTATGACTTGAATTTATTTAAGTACTTTTTTGCAAATTACAAATTAATCTTCTTCATGAATAATTAGATGCGAGCATTAATTTTTATTTCGAGGTTAAATTTATCTTTCTTATGCACATAGGTAGGGTAAAAAGGCATATGTTATTTCATGTATTGACTACTAAAAATAATATTTGATTTTTTCTAATTTTTTGCTTTGAGCGCATGACAATTCTGGCTACATGCATGCATGTGTACCAGATCTTCTGAAACTGGGGTTACAGATGGTTATGAGACACTGTGTGGGTGTTAGGAATTGAGCCTGAGTCTTATGTCTTATGCAATGACTGAGCCTCATTCCAGGAGCAACTGTGTTATGTATATATGTTATATATGTGTGTGTATGTGTTATGTTATATATATATATATTATCTGAGATCTGAGATGCCTAGACATAATCTATGTTTATCATCATTATCAAAGAATTTTTGTAATACTAAGACTTTTTTTTCGAGATAAGGTTTTTTCATAGCTTTTGGTTCCTGTCCTGGAACTAGCTTTGGTAGACCAGGCTGGCCTCGAACTCACAGAGATCCGCCTGCCTCTGCCTCCTGAGTGCTGGGATTAAAGGCGTGTGCCACCACCTCCTGGCTAAGACTTTTCTTATTATGTAAATGATGCTCTCATGTCCATTTCTACTATGTTAAGTATTTTAAATGAAATGTTACTATTTTTGTTTTAGAACTTCATCTTCCACAGTAAATATCTTTTGTTTCATTCGTTAATGAATTCGTAGAGAATATTTAATAGCTTGTTTACTAAAGTAGATACAATCTTTGTCAACTTTGAATATATGCATCAAATAGAACTTCCACTAGTATAGAGAACAAAATCCCTCCAATATTTATTGATTAGAGGCTACTTTTTTGTCTGGACCAAGTTTATTGATTTTTCTCTGTTTTGTTTTAATAGAGATGCAAAGAAGTCATAAAAGGCATTTGTGAACAATAAAGGAAAAAAAAAGAAAGTTGTCACCTGTGAGTCCTGAAGTAAATCTATGCTAAAAAGTAGATCTTTTGATGGTAAGAAAAGATAAAGAAAAAACTATTACTTACAACTATTTAAATGTAGGTGTTTTATAATTTGCCATCATTTTTTAATGTTGGAGAGGTGTTTAGAGGAGAAATAATTGAAATATTATTGCTCAGGCAGTAAGTTATTAAAACAGGCAAGCAAGTGGTCATTTGTTACATAACAGGTACTTGCTTGAGAAGGAAATGTGTAGGTTAAGAGGCCGCCTCAGAAAGAGCACAAATTATGAGGACAAAGACATGTTATTTTCAGGTATGCTTTTATATAGAAAGAATACATAAAAATTTCCATTATGCTTATTTATTTTGTATTAATCTAAGATAGCCAAAACAGACACACAGAGGCTTCCCTGGTTAGGTCAAAATGGAAACAAAATTTCTTCACCAAAAGAAACTAGGCTGGGGAAAGGTTCCTATAAAGTACAAGTCTCTGAACTTCCAGAATGACTCAGAACTTCAGAAGACTTGTGAGGATAAAAAGTCAATGTGAATATATTCTATCACACCTTTCTGGTAGAACAATAGAACAGCTATAATTATTTTTAACATGTGAACAATGGCAATGCTAGCTAATGTACCATCATGGATTCAAGAATTCTAACAGGCCTCCACTCCATAGTGGATCTATAGGCAATTAACAACTGCTAAGAGAGGGAGAATTAGCTCTCCCCTGAAATGAGTCCCCTATTTGGTTATCCATTACGTAGCTGTCATTCCTCAATATAGATGTATATATCTGCAATACTCATCAGACTCAGCAGGTTCTTTTTGTTTATTAATTTACAAATATTTATACAACATGTAATAGTAAGAGTAGTACATAATTAAAAAGAGCATGGATTTTGAGCAAGTGACAAGGGGTATGTAAAGAGTTGGAGGGAGGAGAGAGGAAGAAAAATGATGTAATTATATTTTAATCAAAATATGTTTTAAAAGAAATAATTATGTTTAAGACCATTCAAGGAGAGAATGCTCCTAATCACATCAGGTTGATTACACTGTCTTTTCCAACTTCAGAAAACATGTAACATCCTGTAAATGTCAAATCTTTAAATTATGATACTTCACTAGGTCTAAGAGAAAATGTGAAAAGGAACTCTGTTTTAATTGACACGGTGAAGGTGATTTTTCAACTGAAAATAAAAAGATAGTCATAGACATATATCTTGGAGAGTAACTGACCATTATTTTATTTTCTGATTAGAAAAATGTCTCTTTCAAATTACCTCTTACTTATTTACTTTCTGTAATGGATTAGAAACCATTCAAACTCTAAATGAATAATTTTATAAATGCATGCTATTTTATGTATTTATGTTTATACAACTGCCCATAGTAAAATCAATTTCTGTGGAAATGGCATGTAAGATTCCAATGTGTAATATAAAACTTGTAGTTGTTGGTAGGCTATGAAAATTAAAAGAATCACTAGCATGAATATCCTAAAAAGGGCTGTTTTATGAAGTCATAGATAACTATAAGTTTGAAAACATCTAAAAGACTTTTTTATTATTTGCAAATAATTTCAATTTTAATAATAAAAATTAGAAATAGACAAAAATCAATAAAAATATAGATTACTTTTAATTTTGAATTTTTCAACTCTCAGCTTTTCATCTTTTTTATTTACTGTAAATAGTAATGTTCTACTATGACATGTTTCAAGAGACACAGAGTAGTAACTGAAAGCTTCCTTCCAGATTCCACTCTGTTTGCTCACTTCAGAGCACAACACTGGAATGTGGTAAGCATACTAAACACGGAATGTATGCACTTCTGTTTAATATCTTCACATGGAAGTCAGGGCAGACCCAAAAGTCACGAAACTCCTTGTTTAAAGCCCATACTGAATCATCCTTTGTATCTATCGCTATTTCCTGGTGTTTATTTAACAAACAGAAATCTATGTCATATCACACTATTATTATTCATTATTTAGTGGAAAGTCTTCTCACTCAGCAATTATTCCCTAAGAGCCTGAACAACTGCCAGTGTTTGCAATTTTGCCTTGAAACTCATCTACATCATTCAAATTGTTTCCAAACCCATTTTAGATTATGTCAGTGCCTTCATAGAAACACTTCAGTGGTGATTCCTTTAAAAAAAAAAAGTCCCTAGGATCTTTATGGAAATGTCAAAAGGATACTGACTTTGATAGTCTTTCTTCTCCATGTTCCTTAATCATAGGGAAACAATTCCTGATCATTTGCATAAGCATTCAGTTTGTATGAATATGAAAGTTCAAGTTAGACTGAACTAATTTTTAGGTTCCTGCTGGGTAGAAATTACCACACCTCTTCTATAAAATATCTAGTTTAGAGGGAAACTCCTTAAGACTCAGGTGTTCTAAGAGGAGGTGAGACTTTCCATCTTATAGGCAAGTTCTCTACGATTCAGAAAGTAAACAAGTCAAAAACACGAGGAAGTCCCTGGAACTGAGCATATTCACTCTCCTCTCCCACAGCCTACATAATCAATAAAAACTGCTGGAAGAGTCCCTCAGACTAGATAACTATATGGAAGAGGTACTGTCTACTTTGTTTGCGACTGAAATTTGTGCTGGAATTGACTTCTGATGAAGTATATATATATATATTTGACTCATTTCTGCTTACTCACGGAAGTAACTTTTCACCTATACATAAGTAACCCGGATAAAGCTCCTTGGTTCACACATTGATTTTGATGATATTCTTACTTTTGTCCTCAGTAGTTTTCTACATTGCATAGGTACTTACAACAGTTCCTGAGAATGTCATTGTGCTTTTTATTACCAGGCCTTGAATGTGAGGTTTTCTGCCATGAAAAGCCCTCACATGAGGAGACTAATACCTATGCTTGTGCAAAGTGACAGTTTTCTATTGACAGACATGTTTGAGACCCACCTTATCATGAACTCTTTTGAGCCTCCTGTCTTTTTAAAATGGGAACATTGAAACTTACCTTTCATAGATTTGGAGTACCTTGCTTTCAGTGACTATTTATTTACATATTCCTCTAGACTATCAATAAAGACAATGAAAGTGTCTTCTAACAATGAATCAACATTCAATCTTTTATACTATCAGATAATTACATAAATTCTTATTGAATGAGATATTTTTCTATAATTCTGATTCAAAAGAGCACTTTATTAAATGTTAGCTAAAATATTTACAAAGCTGATGAGACAGTTTTCAAATTAAGCCATGTTCAGTAGTGTCTGTGTATTCCTGGGGGTGTAATGATTAAAACCGAGGAAATTATACTTCCTGTGCACTTCCTGCATGACCGTGCTCTTTAGCAAATGGGTCTCCTTTAGGGAAATAAGGGAAAAGCCTACTTAAATTATTCTCTTGTAATGTCATGTTGAATACCTGACAGCTCCTGTCAGAAGCACATGAGATAAACTCTCTGAGGTCCTCAGTATTTGGCCTTGACTGCCAATGCAGTAACCAATAACACATTAGCGAAGAGTGCTCCCAGATCATCGACTTAATTTAATATCTTTACATAGCTTTTCAGTTATAAATCCAATTTTGTTAGACTAGCTGTAAAATACAACACGTTAGATGCATTACAAAAATATTCCTATAAATCTACCTAAATAGACAAATTGTTTGAGTATTAAATGTTTAGATTCTGCCTTTAACCTTCCTGTTAGAAAAGTATGAACTACACACATCATTAATTATTTTATTTTCTTCGCATGTTATACACCTCAAAAATATGAAATTTTAAAATCTGGTTTGTAAATATTTTTCTATGTATAAGCTAAATACATATAATTTTGACAAGACTTATCCTAATCATTAAAAACAGAATAAAATATAAAGTATAAATAAAAAAATCATGACTGAGAACCACACATTTAGCAACATCATTCATTTACATAACAAACATTTATGAATACCTGATAGGTTATTTGCAAGTGATGTGGGAGCGACTTCTTTCTAATCTGTTGCTTTCACTGGTTAATTAATAAAGAAAACTGCTTGGCCCTGATAGGACAGAAAGTTAGGTAGGTGAAGTCGACAGAACAGAATTCTGGGAGAAAGAAGCCTAGTAAGGCAGTCACCATGATTCTCCCACTCCAGACAGATGCAGGTTAAGTTCTTCCCTGGCAAGCTAACTCGTGGGATACACAGATTATTCGAAATGGGTTAGATCAATATGTAAGAGCTAGCCAATAAGAGGCTGGAACTAATGGGCCATGCAGTGTTTAAAAGAATACAGTACCCTGCCACTCCTATTACTACATACAAGTTACAGAAACTGCTTGAAATGGACGCATTGAATCCAGTGGAGATTCCAGATTTTCATATTCCATTGCAGGATGCTTGGAAGCCATGTCAGATATGCTACTACAGGGTCCATTCTCATCCTCACTGCATTTCCTAAACTATCTTTGTTTTAAGGCTTTGTTCAAAATCTCATCTTAAAAGCATTAACCATTTTTAATTCTCCTTGTGATTAATATTTATTATAACATGTATGTAAATACAAGCTCCAATGTTTGATAATCTATAAATGTGTAGACATTGTCATTCAATCATTATAAAAAAAATTCTGTCCTTTCAGATTTAGGGGAACAATGTTGAAAATATTTTGTATAAATTACTCATACAATTTGTGTAAAGCTGGATTTTCACATAACAAAATAAAAATAAATTAAATGTTATGTTTTATTAAATTAAAATATAAAAATCATTTTATTATTAACTGAAGACTACTGAATATGTAATGCATAAAAAATCTTAAAATAAAAATACCACCTATTAAACATAATTATGACACATTCTCTAGTCATACTTAAAAGTAGATATTCTACTTTCTTTTATGCTGTGGAAATTTCATCTCTTCAAAACACATAATGGAATCAGCTAACATGCAAAATCCTTGAAAAGATTCAATTATTTGTACCTCTATGTAATGCAGGTGCAATGAAATATATAGCAAATTGAAAATGTCCCTATTCACAATAGTAAAGTAGCATAATGTAAGCAAATTATGCTTTCAATTACAAATGTCATATTCTGGAATTTTACCTAAAACTGAATCAAAATCATGATGACAATTTGAACACATATTCTCTTCTGTCTATTATCCATACTTATCTTTCTATAATACTTAGTATATGTCACCTTTTTGAGAGAATATTCATAGAACACAGGTTATTTCATACTGATATTTTATCCTACTTGTATATAGTGTTCTCATGGTATTAGAATTATAACAAATCGATTCTGGGTGTTTTACTGTGCACTACTTTGTTTGTTTGTTTTATTTTTTAACAGTGTAGTAGTACCTGTTAGAAATGGAAGTCAAACACACATTTTTTTATATAGTACTTATAGTAACTTTTTTCACTTTTAATAAATTACTTGATAATTCTGCTGCCAAATCTGCCATAGACTACATATAACTATTGAGCATAGCTATTTTCTGATTTTGTTTTTTCTGTTTTTTGTTTGTTTGATTGATTGTTTTTGTTGATGTTTGTTTTTTTTTTTTGTTTTTTGTTTTGTTTTGTTTTCCTTGCTTGCTTGCTTGTTGGGTTTCTGTTTTGTTTTATTTTGTGTTTTACCTGTACCCAGGTATTCCAGGTTGGTCTTATGAAGCTGGGATGATCTTCAACTCCTGACTCTTCTATATCTATTCAACAAGTGTTGGGATTATAGGCAGTCGTCATCATGACTGGTCATATGTCTTTCTTTTGCTTTCTTACTAAAAGTTACAAGGAGCCAGGCAGTAGTGGCACATGCCTTTAATCCCAGCACTTGGGAGGCACAGGTAGACAGAATTTTGTGAGTTCGAGGCCAGCGTAGTCTACAAGAGCTAGTTCCAGGACAGACTTCAAAGCTACAGAAAAACCCTGTCTCAAAAAAAAAAAAAAAAAAAAAAAAAAAAAAAAAAAAGTGGGGGGGAGGTACAGTATTTGGCTTAAAAATGAGAATACAGTAAACCTCAAACTAGCTCTTAAATCTCAGAATAATTGTTTGAAATTCAGGAAAAAAAATACCATCCTTTCTGTTGTCTATTTAGTTGTTTGTCAAAATCAGATTCTTGCTATATGGCCCAGGTTGAACTTGGGATCAAATCTCCCCCATGTCAGCCTTTTAAGTACCAAGAATACTGAAACACAATATCATTCCTGACTCTCTGCTTTTTTTTTTACTACAATACAGAACTCTCATATTTGAAAACCTTGAAGTGTTTTAAGAACATATAACTTAAAGAGTTACCAAAATACTAACTGTCGGGAATGGTGGTGACTTCCTCATTGTGATACAACCAGCTGACAGCAGGGGCGGGTGAGCTGCTAACCCTGCAGACCACTTCCGCGTCCTCCCCTTGCTTGAACTCTTGAGGGGATACCACTTCTCTGAAGGTGAGTTTCTCTGTATCAAGAAAATAAATTTACTTGTTAAATATGTATCATTTACTTAACATATTGTCATCTATAATTATTAATTAATATAATAAGAATTTAGATATTTTAAAAAAATTATAAACAGTGGTCTTGTGTCTGCCACATCTTGCCAGAGTGCTCCAAGAACACAGCTTTGTTTTTTCTCTTAAGCATTCTTGACTACGGAGTTTGTTGTTCTGAGAATTAACTGTCTACTTTAACTCTTTGAATTCTCTGCCTACCTCTAATTTCTCATCCAGGAAATTCCATTACATGTGTATATGACATCATCTATATATTTACATTATTTGTAGTTCAAGTCTTAGAAGAACACTGATTAAATTCAATAAGAAAAGTCTTGGCTTAATGAATGAACACAGATAGTTATGTTCAACCAAGAGTTTTCCACAAAAAACATGAATTGTTGTGGCAGCAAATTTTTCATTTTTCATTTAATATTTAAATCATCAAGAATTTTGTACATCATTTAAAAATAATGAAAGATGTTTTTAAAATTATGCCTATATCTTACTGGCTTAGCCTGGACCGGATCTCCTTGCTGCTTGAGGGGCTTGTAAACAAAGGACCATTTTTTTTTTTTTTGTATTTTAGAACCAGACATTTTAATATATTTTCCAGAAAATTTTAATGTGTCAGGGGCAGAAAATGCCAGAGATGAAGACATTCCATGAAAAGCCTCATTTGTTTTATATATTCTATTTTTATAATAGTTAAATCAAAATTATAAAAAGCAAAACATTTTTTATTTCTATTTAAAAATGTATGGACTACAATCCCCCTGAAATTTATTATTTATTTCCAGTTTTTATTTTTAAGCATATCTTACTGTGTTTGAATCCTTCGTAATGAAACTACAACACAAATGCACAACTTACGGTAAATTTCCAGAACTACTGTAGCTTCTTGTGTCTGGCCTTTGTCATCTGTCGCTTGGCAGCGATAAATCCCTGCATCTTCTATGTTTGCGTTATAAATGGTTAGTCGTGACCTGACACCTTCCTTCTGGACCATCACCCTCTGCGTGGAAATGATCTTCTCTCCTTGAGGATTATACCAATCTATACTCTCAGGCTCACCAATGGCTGCAAAGAGAAAAACAAATGTTTGAAAATCGATTTGGAGTGTTTGTTTTCACAGTGACATTTACTATTATGTAACAATTTCAGCAATTCAGAAAAGAATGTCAATAGAAGACTAGAAATCCAGAAATTGTACAAAACTGAAAGCAAACACAAATGTTAAGACAAATGTTCATCTTTGTTTAATCAACATTAAGGACTCCGTCTGTTACGTGGAGGCAAGCTTCAAACATTTCATCTGAAATATATTACTAAAATTTAAGCTGTGAGAATTGAAGCCTCACAGTCATAATATATGGGATATTTTTGCACAAAATATTAAAACTGCTTCAGACAGATACAAGCCAAATTGAGACATATTTTTTAAAAGGAACAAATGCTAACATGATTTCACATGCTCAATTCTCATTGCTAAAGTCAAGAGACAGCAGAAATGTTGCCCCAAATAAAGAATTGCTTACAAATATGTAATTATTTTGTAAAACAAAATTTGAAATTTGTTATTATTACAAAATTTTGAGACAATTTTACACCACGTTCAACTGGTGAAAATAAGGCCAATTGCTATATAAAAAAATAAATACTAATATCTCTTCTCAACTGACATTATTATGTCATCTTCATTTTAAATTATTAGTCATTTAGTTATATTATAATTAGAATACATAGAAATAGCACTTATCATATTTAGAAAAATGGAATGAGGTTCATATAATATTCTTCTGAAATGTCATGTAATACATTGATTGTCAGAAAGTTTTTCAAAAATCTTTCTTGACTAAATATTCTTCATTTGCATTTATGTTTCAAATATATGTATTATAAATATATATATTATTTTGTCATTTACCTTTTTCAGTTGTTAGAATTATGCAGGGTTGAACCTAAGTTATTCATTACTTACTTACGTATAACATATTCAACTTTAGTCTTAAAATTAGTCCTAATATGGGTATTTAGAATGGAATAATATTTAAATACAAAAGTTTCTTATGTACAGATTTTATTTTATAATGTAATTTTTATAGACAAATTAGTTACCTTGATAATTAAATAAAAATAAATTTCATAATGTTATCATATAATTGGTCACAGCATTATCATATAATAAATGTTCAGATACTATTTTTTAACATCAGTGTTAACTATTTAAATTATCCATTGTACTCCATAAGAACTAAAGGCACAGGGTCAAATATCTGAATACATACCTGTACATGTGAAGAATTTAGATTCACCCACACTAAGCTCTACTTTGCTAAGTGAAATTGTCACTTGAAGAAGAGCTGAAAAAAAAATTTGAATGACAGTTAATTGGGGAGTTGGGTACAAATTCTAATAACTGATGTATAAATCACAAATTGCACACATACATAAATTTTCCATTTTTTAATTATTCACTCTAGAAAAGATGTTTTATACATATATTCTAGCAATCTTATATGTTACAATAATATGCATTTCATATCAATCTAAAAGTAGTATTTATCTATATATATTCATTAACATTCTGTTAGCTATATAAATTCTGTTAAACAAAAAAGGATCAAATTCATCCTTTCCTTTCCCTTAACAATGGTAAGAGTCCTTATTTGTTAAACCATAATTTATAACATGTAAAGGAACATTTCTTCTAACAGTGAGACTTTTGGTAAAATCATATGTTATATCATCATTATAACAAAATATGCAAATAATCTTTCCTTGACTAATAAAATCTTTACTAAATGAGGCAAACATGGAACCTTTACTAGGAAAGGTAAATGAACAGAAACATAGACAAGTATGTCTAGTGTAGGAACACAGACTAATGTAAGACATTATTGAAGTTCAGTATCTTAAATACTTGTCAAATTTGAAGTTAAAATAGTGAAAATTCTAGAATTTGAGAGGATACATAACACGTTGCTCTGATAGATCTTGATAGACCTGTTTCTAATGATGGGAAAGACTACAAAGTAAATCATTACTCAAATCTTCCCCAGTTAATCTCCTTTTCTCAGAAAGAGATAAGCAAGAATTCAATAACGTAACATGGTACAAGGAGTAAATAAAGACAATATTGAATTCTTATATGAGCTGGGAATTAGTAGGTCACAGTAATCAACAGCTCTCTTCTACTGAGCATGGACTCCAGAAAATACTTGCCCATGTTAGTCTTGGGTATAATGATGCTACAGATACTGGAGTAAGATGAACTCCTGGTTCTGAAGAAAATAGAAATAATCAATGCTCTAATTAGGATGTATCAAGAAGACTTGCCTCCTCTGAGTATAGGAATAACAACATAACAATTCTGTCATGTTGAAACTCATGATTTTAATAATGAATATATATTCTTAGGAAAAATCCAAAGAAGATGATTACAAAAAATAGAACGGCATAAAGGACTAACAGTCAAGTGGTGGGCATAGATGCCCCTGGAAGACACACAGTACAGCCTAAGTCTCCGATATTCTTATAGATGTGGTTCTATTCAGTATACAATCATGAGCTGATCTTAAAAGGAAAATGGTATGGTAGGATACAATGAATAATAGTTGAAACAACAAAGAGGAGAAATGAAGATCTGATATTTTAAAAAAATGCATATTTTAGACTGAGTCACAAACATAACTGCTATGAAATCTTTTAAAAAAATTAAATACGTACTCAAAACATTTCAACAAGCTATAACAGTGAACTTCATTTATTCCATTCTAAATAAATGAATGTTGTTAATGAAGATATGTTTAATACAAAGTAAGTATTAAAGAATTTGTGCATGTTTTTAAATATCACATGACATCCATAATATAATGTGACTTGTATGAGGAATAATCTACATAGGCTTATGTGCTGAACACTCCTCTTGAGGCTGATGAGTTGAAAGGTCATGGTTCTTTTTGAAACTTAAAATCAGTCTTTAGGTGGTGAGCTTGGATTTGTTTGGTTTAGCCTGAAGAGGGACAGAAGGACAAGCCACTTGGCATAAGGATGAGAAACCTATCCCTAGCAGGGATGCCTACAAGTGTCAGAGCGCACCTATGTTGGGCTCCAGATGGTCTACAGATCTTTATTTAGGTGTTGTCGCCCCTGTCCCAGATGTGGCTTCTTGAATGTGGAAAACTGGAAGCAAGAGATCAAGCCTAGGGGGAATGTCGTCCAGGGCAAAGCAAGTCCACAAAGATTGACAGTTTCAAAAGATGAACTCAGAAAAGGGGCTCAGACACACTGTTTGATCAAGCTCTGCGTGCAGTGCTATTTCTAGCAGCTAGATAAACAATGAATAGAAAGCACAGGCAAAAGTATAAATAATTTATTCCTGAAGCGAACCCAGAGCGCTGTGTTCTTGCCTATATTCCCCCCTGTTCCTAGTCACTCTGACACCCACAGCTGCTCAGGCTGTGGCATGTACCTAAGGAAAAAAAATGTATGAGATGCAAATGTGAGAGAAAGTGGTGTCATGCAAATGACTTCAGAAGGGCCAACCCCCACAGGGCACAGAACGTCTGAGTTCAGACCTTTTCCAGCTGTCTAGCCCACTTTTCTTCCTGGAGTGATTCTCTTTCTCTTAATAAACTGTCTCTATTTCTATCACTATATGCTACTACCTCAATTCTTTGTTCCAGGAAACAAGAATCCAGATAAATCAGCAGGTGCTCTCTGATTCATGCAGGTAACAATTGGTGATCTGCCAGTCAGGAAGTACAATTGGTTTATGACTATAATCTCTGAACTTTAACACAATGGAAGATTAAATGATTTCAGACTTCTCTTTCTCTCCCACAAAAGACCTACCCTGACAGCAGAACGCTCTTTCTTGTTTCCTTCGCCTCTCCCTTTCATAGTCCACAGCCCACTTTGAAATGGTGGGCAAGCTATTGTGGAATGCCTAAGGATGACATGATGGTAACAATTACAAAAGTACTCAAAGAAAATAACACAAGGGACTGACTCAAACTGTGGTCAGAGAAAGAAAACACTGAAGAGTTTACTTTTCAAACCAGTGCTTCTGACTGTCCTGAAGCTACTCTTAGTCTAAGATTCCTGGGTAACAATGACAGCAAAGAGATCTGTAAGTGATGAGATCTCATTGTGAACATAGATTGGATGAGAAGTCCAGTAATGTAGAACTTGTACTCCTCTGACCCCATACAATTATCAGAAGGACACACCAGTTGTTTATATTTCCAGATACATTGCATGCTCAAATACTGGAATTTGTTTTATCCTCAGGCTGTAAAGGAAAAGCTGTCTCTAGACAAGCTCTGTGGGGTGTGATACTACATCCAGACTTTTCATGTAAGTATTAAGAGAAGTAATTTGAAAAGCCTTCATGAAGACCTGATATAAATATAAATAAACAGCTACCATAAACAGCTACCGCAGAAGAAAGCACAAAATTCTGGGATACCTTGGATAATGATTGTTTCAACACTCCAACTAGCAGAGAACAATAGAAAATGGAACTTAGCTAAAATATGTTGCCTTTCTCAACAAAGCCCTGCCACATATCCATGTTCTCATATCTACCCAGGTTATCGATAGGGAAACACCACCTTAATGACCATATAAGTAGTAGAATGCCCTATCACCTTTCCACTTCTGTTCTGACAGCATTATCACTCAGGCATGTGCCAGGACCCTGGAGATTAATTTGAGTTCCCATGTCTATCTGAATCACAGCAATGTGCGGAGAACCAAGAAACCTTCTTTAATGAACCGGCCTGATCTCCCAGTAACTTTTAGACCTTAACTTTAGCTTATGGTATTAGAATGAAGATCCATACTTAGTGCTGAGTATGTGCTATGCCCTGCTGTAAAAACAAACCATGTGGGCAAATTCAAAACCGTGCTGACAAGCTATTGGTTTGAAGCCCTGATGGCCATCTGCCCAATGCACAGGTCCTCTCATATTAACAACCCACTGTTTGATATTATTATAATCTAAAAGGGGCTCGGGGTGTGGGATTAGAATAATAAGCATCATTACAATGAATCAAATTTAAATAAAGGTACCTATTTATTACTTATGACATGGTTAATGTGGTTACTCAAGGAAAAGAGGGATGTCCTCTCTTTATTTGCAGAAGGCTAACCAGGGCTTTTAAGAAATTCAGCAACTTGGATTCCTCATCCCCCAAATAAAAGACTTATGAGACAAAGTTTCACTGTGTTGAAAGTGTAAAAGTGACACATGAGACCTGAGAACTCAGTGATTCAGCTGTGCACATTTTTATTTTAGTGCTCGAAAATCAAGATCTGAAGTGAGACAGCAACAAATAGAAAAACCGGGAGACTGGGAACCAGACGATTGTGATTCTACTTGTAGACTCTACTGGAACGACCTTCCCAACAAGACAAACCTCCTATTAGTCTCAGAGAGCAAAGAGAAAATCTCAGATCACTGCAATTGTGAAGTTCCTAGATCTTACATATATGAATGTGCCAAATGCCCTCCAGGGTCATCTGTGCTGTGTAAGGACCTAGGAAACTGTCATTAGAAGACAGTGTTTCCATGCCCAGAATAGGAAATGACAACTCTTCTTATGACCATATAACAAATCTAGAGGTTCCTAGAGAGTGGAAGACAGAAAAGCAAACCACCTTCACAGATCCTTCAAGAGTTATCCATGTGTCCTCCAAAGATAAAGCAAAAATATATTGTTCTTGGTTAAAATAAGTGTGTCGTATGTGCTCATAATTGAGTTCATGTGTGACATTCTATGTCTAAGTGAACATGGGACAAAACTCAGTCTCTTAGAAATCCTCTTGCTACTTCATTAATTTCACTTATATAGTTTTGTGCACAGCAACACATTTGTCTTTTGTAGTGTGATATTTAAAGTGTAAGTATACGTGTGCTTCTTGGTGCTCTCTGTATGAGTGTGTGTGTGGGTATAATAAAAGTACTCATAAATGCATAATTTTATAAACTTAAGTTTTCTTACCTTCTTAAAATTTATTAAAATGGCATTTTTGGATAAATAAATATTTCAAGAAATCTTAAAAATGACATTTCTATAAAATTGTATTTGTTCCATCATAAAATATTTCATTTAGCTATGAAATTTAAAGTTGCACACATTGATAGGTATTTCCTTTCCAAATGTGACTTAATAGTCAAATGCAACAGAAAAATATTAAGCCATAAAATGATTTACTAGAATGACAACCTCTAAAAAACTTACAGCAAATTACTTTATTTTTGGAATTACTATAGACCTATTTAAAGCCAGAAATAATGTTAAAATGTAAATGATAAATTTAAGATTTTGCTTGGAGTAATACAATTAAGATGATA